GTTCAAGGAGTATGTGAACATTTTTGGTTACTACGTTGCTCTGACAACTCTTGAGTGCATGTCCACCTGGGCACCTAAATCCTGCTCCCCTCTCCTATATATGGTACCAATATTAATCAGATATCTTTAAGGGATTCCGTGTAATGAAGACTTCAAGCCTTTTGCAACATATGGAGCAGAGACCACTTGAAACTGCTTCTCAAGCCCTCAGTTTCCTTCTGCTTGGCCCAGTGCAATAACCCTTGCCCTGTATTTTAATACTGAATTCAATGTGTTTCACACAACCCTGGAATGTCCAGTGTATACAGATTTAGGAACTGGAGGATCTGTGAGGAATGAAGCTCAGGACAGCTGGAGAAGGAAGATCTGTAACTGTAAGCACACAGGGAGAGCTGAACTCCATTTTGGGTTTCTGCAGCCTGCACTCAGCTAAGGCTCATGGTAACAGAGATAGGGTGTAACTCCTAAATCTCTTTCTCTTGGAAAGGAGGAGAAAGCATTATTTTTTTTTTTTCAGAAACAGACAAGTTCTCTACAGCAAGTTCTCTACAGCAAATGTAACAGGGCTGGCATGTGGCTCTGCCTAGTTTTGCATCAAGAAAATCAAAACAAATCAGCTACTTTGGCTCCTCACTTCACGTACAGGTCCTTGCCCTCTGATTATCCACATCCAACAAGCCCATGTGTGGGCCAGGCACCCAAGTAGCCAGGCACCTCTCTCCCTTTGGGCAACGTGCCCAAGGCTGGTTCTCTCTGCTTTACCCCTTTACCAACCCAAGCCAAGCAGCAGTTGCACCCTCACATACCTCCACAGCACTATACCCCCTCAATGCCATGTTAAGAAATACCACTCTGGACCATGGTAGGGATCTCAACTTATTTCAAGCACTTTGAACAGGAAAAATATGATTATGGGTGAGGGTGACAGGAACAATACTAAGACAAAACCTGGAATCTAGGGAAGACTGAAGCCCAAGGTAACACACGTGGACAGGAGCAGGCTGTTCTCAAAGGGCCACTCAGGCAAATGTGAGCTTTCTAGTATTGCTTGGCGGGGGAGCCTAAAGCAGATGCCTCAAGTCATTGGCTATTTAATTGTGATTGTTTCCAGAGAAAAGGTGCAAAGGTGACAAGTAACTGTATACTTTTTTTTTTTTTTCCCCAAATATCAACTCTGAAGCTTTGTTCTGGTACTAGAGAACCACAGTGGGGTCAGTCCAGCTCATTCAGCCTCACCAGTAAGACCCATGGCAGAACTCTTTCTTTGTTCTTTCTCAGCCCATCCCAGGGGCTGTCACTGAAGAGAAACATGGATAAGTGAGGAAAGCATCTGGCCAGGCCGTCCATCAGTATCAGCGCTATTGATGATGTATGAGTAAGAGCAAAGTCCAGCTCACACACCCAGAGCTGTGCTGGCTCAGCAGGACTAAAAGGCAAAATTAAAATAAAAAAAATTAAAAATTTTAAAAAAGAGAGAGAAATCTTTATTTTGTTGAGCAGCAGCAGCCCCAGCAACCAGTACACTTGGAGAGCAGTTTTGGTGAGTAGAGTGGTACTGTTCTTCCAGTCTTTTTGTATGTAAAATCACAACACAGAACCTGGCTTTGAGTTCCTTAGCATACAGAGTAAGGCAACACAGTACTGTGCTCCCCCCTGCCTCTTGCAGAGGGATGAAAACCTGATTTAGCCCTGCTTCTGGTCCGAGGAGGCAAAGTATTTCATTCTTGATGTTTTTGCTGGTAAGAAATAATGGGAAACACCTTCCCTAGGAAAGATTGTTTTTTTCTTTTTCTTTCTGATATCACCTAAAGGAGCATTTTCAGCCTCAGATCCAAGAGGAGTCTTTTCACATCGGACATCTTTTTATACCCTCTGCAACACTTATTATCTGCAGAAACCACCGTAAGCCAGACCCTGGGTTAAGGTGGTGCCAAGAAGGGAGCAGGGCCTCCTGGGAGCCCTCTTAAATTGTGCCCCAGGGTTTCAAAGCAACGTGACCTTCCACAGGCTGCAAGCAAGACCAGCAACCAGCTGACTTTTTCTGCTGGGTCAGCAGCCCAAAACTGGGACACACTGGTCTGAACCTCCTGTTTTATGATAACTCCGAGCAACACAGCTCTGACATACCCGGCAGTGAGTTTTGCTCTAGGCTTTCCAAAAGCAGCACATCAAAATTCACCCCTGGCAAGAAAAAAATTTTAAAAGGATGCCAACCCCCAGCTAAGGTTGAACACTCTTCAACACCAGTGATCGACATATTTTTTAGCCATTAAGCTGTTAACACCGGAATATCACAGAAAAGGGCATTTTAGCCTACAAATTCTTCAAAAGGAAAGATATTCACCCTCTTCTGCGTACTTTTTGCTTATTAAACCAAATGTTTCTCTGCATGGCTCACTTTGCACTTAGGGATTTATTTTTGTAAATCATGAGATCCAAGCCAAAATAGCCCCAAGGCTAGCAGGGCTGGGGTTCCCAGCCTTGTAAACCCCTAGGGAGCAAGGACATGAGGTGGCCCAGCACCAAGGCTGGGATGATAGCCCCACTGGGAAGCATGAGTGAGTCCCCACTCCTGGCCAGCCGGAGCAGCCCAAATCCCAGGTGAGGTTTGGCCTGACTCCTTTTTTGCCAGAAGCTGTTCCCCTCCAAGGGCTGTGCTGCAGCATTCATCCCACAGTCTTCACAATGCCCTTGGAGTAAGGAGGAGACCTCAACTGTCTGGGTTGGAAAACCAAGGGGCAGATACTCAGCTTGTGCAAATCAGCATAGCTTCACTGGAGACCAAGGAGCTATCCCAATTCACCCCAAATGAAAGCCTGGCTCAGAGAAGCAGAGAGAGGTGTTGTAGGCACTCCACAAGTCAATGGCAGCACTGGGCACAGAGGTGGGGCGTCCTGGCTTCCCGCTCCAGCAGTACTGCTGATGTAGCTGGAAGTCACATCCAGTGGTAAGTCTTGCTCCGATCAGCAGAGCAATGCAGTCTGAGCAAAACTGGTCCTCAGAGCCAGCAAAAGGTTTTCTACTACCCTCAGTAGCTAAAATTCACCGTCTCCTCTTTTCAGCAGCAGCACCTTCAGTTTTTGCTGCCTTTCACCCTTGGCCACTGGAGGATGCCAGCAGGCACACAATGGCTCTGCCACCCAGTGGGCCTTACGCAGTTATGTCTGCAGTGGGTGATGGGCAGATATTTGCACACACAGGGGACCTGGGTGAGACCCTTTAGCTGTGGTGTGAAGGCCAAGCAAAACCACAACAGTCCTCACAAAGTGTGGGATCAGTTCCCCAGACTTTCATCAGAAAAACCTCTTGCATGCCCACAGGGGGCTTGTGTTGGTAGGTGGAGGGCCTGGTTTTACATATCAATCATCAGAAGCACAGCAGAAAAGCCAAACGTGATGCATACTTAGCTAGCCAAAGCAGGAGAGCAGGCACTTCAGCTAGGGACCTTTCTGGCAGCCATCAGACACGCCGCCGGTATCAGGTACGTTTACATACCTTTTAGCGTAGCTTAACAATTGCGTTAGAGACAAAGGAGAAGGCATAGTGTACAGGGAAAAAAAAATCCCAAAATTATACCCTTTTATTTGTAAAGCTCTGATGAAACAACTTTCCAAATGACATCCCACTTAAAAACCAATGGAAACCAACCTAACTATGTGTCAGTTACACTATACAGATTGCATCCTACATTTTCAGGATGCCTAAATATCTTATGGAGTATTTACATATGTATCAGTTAGGTAGTAAAGTTGCATTGTGATTTGTTTCTTTCCAGCACATACTTATTCAATGGCAAAACAAAAACAAAACCAAAAAAACAAAAAACCTGGGGATGCATTTGTATTTTTGTACAACGCTTCTGAGCAAAAAGCTAGGGCAATTTTCCTGAGAGAAGGCTTGTTCTTTGAAACTCTTGCTTTAACAACTGGAAATACAGAATGTGGATGGGGTTTTTGTTGTGCTAAAAAGCCTAAGGATGCCTAGTTAAGTTTTTCTTTTAAATTATTTACGTACCATTAAGTTAAAATGTTTACATTCATTCATTCGTATAAAAACTGTTGTTAAATCTTATGCAAATGATTTAACACTGATTGCTGCAACGCAAATTGCACTTCTTTAAAAAAATTATTGTATATATGGAAGAAAAATATCTGATTGCTACCCTGTTTACAAATTTTGACTGACTCTATACAGTTCAGCCAGAAAATATAAACTTTCATAAACCTCAGTCACAGTGTACTTTAAAAGTTATATCGCAGTCTTGCAAAGTGAGTAAATATTTTAAACCAAAAAAAAAGACAACTCAAAATCTCCTTAACAAGCTGGACCTTGTGAGACTTGTACCAAACGTTGTGATTTCTTCCAGGAGGGGTACAGCTGGGCTCTGAAGAGAGAGCAAGGCACACTGAAGAAGAGGGGAGCAGGAGGAGAGGACTGACGGGGTGAAGACATCAAATGTTCCGTGTGAGATGTCTGCGTCGACTCAAGCAGTACAAGCTTGATGCTCCTTAAAAAGTATCTCACTATCTTTAGTAATTAAAGCCTTTGATACTCCCTCCCCCAACACTGACGACTTCCGCCAAATTCTTAGAGGAGAAGGTGATGAGAGAGTGAAGACAACTATACAAACAGAAAGGTAGCACTGCTGGGCAAGTCAAGGATGTATTTCTGGAATCTATCAATAGGTGTAGGTTTATCTCTTCTTTTTTTTTTTTCTTTTTTTTTTTTTTTTTTTGAGAGTGTAAAGCTGCATTAGGTATCCCTCGGTGGGCATTTGCTTTCCCTATATCTTTCTTGCATAGATGAGGAACTGGATGCTTCAGAAGAGCCTCTCTTGGAGGCTGAAAAACACCTCTGCCACCAAGGCACGGAAACAATTTCAGAGGAATGGTCTTTGCGAGCACTCTTGCTGCCACCGCGACCGCTCTGCAGAAGATACTGTGCACGGACATCTAGGGGGCTGCCGCGCAGTGCCGGGATCCAGCTGCCTTCATGCCGGGTCACGCCAGAGCCAGGGCACACCAGGGATCCTGTCTCACAGACGCTGTCACTTCGGCTGTGGAGGTCAAGCTGACGCCAGTGTACAGCCCGTCTTGACCTGAATACTTAAGGTTGCTGCTTTCAGGACTGGTGCTCTCTCCTGGGCCAGAAATTACTGAAGAGCTTGCCTGGAGTGGGGGAAAGAGCAAAAAGAGATTTCATTGAGTGGTTGAGCTTTGCATGCACCAGGGTGCAGGTAGGAGCGCAGCGGGGCTCAGGGCACAACCAGTATCCCAGGATTTCTTTGGAAAGCCAGGGTTTGCCCTCTGCTTGCCCCTGTGCCTCGAAATCCTGTAACTGAAAAGATGTCCTTAGGCCAACACACTCATTCAGCCCCAGTGCCAGGGGTGATAGCCAGGTTTGGAGAACAGCACATGGTTATCTTCAGAGCAAGGTGGAAAAGAAAGCACAGGACACGCAGAAAAATCTGGAAATCAGACCACGGTGAAGGAGTTAACATTCGTGTGTCCTGCTGCCCCCTAACGAAGGGACACAGATGCCAACACCAAAAATGTGACCTGGGAGTTGTGGCACCTATAGTTTTACTTCCCTGGTGGGAGAAGCCCCATACATCCCAATTCTTCAGCAGTGAGTGTGGAGCACCTGCTGGAAATCAGCCTTCTTTGGGTCCCTCACACCTTGAAGTGCCTAAAATCATTCCTCACCCTTCAAAACACTAGCCACAACCACTTTGTGTCAGTAAGGCTAGCCACTAAAGGAGATGTTCCTTTCATCCCAAGTGGAGAAACACTATGCCTTTGAACCAGGACCTTTTTTGTTCTACCACCTACGCACACAAGACAACATGTAGGGAAGCCCCAGTAGGCACAAAGATGAACCTCTGAACCACACTGGAACCAGTCCATTTATTTTAACAGAGAAATGAAGAGTTACAAAGAAACTATCATTTTTTCCATGAGGCTGAGTAGATCCGCTAAAGAGGAAAAATTTGCAGTGCCAGACAGAAAAGTGGCAATGTTTTCACCTGATAAAGGAAATGTTTAAGAGCTGACTTCATGCAAAATTAACTCTTGGATATGTCAACTTTAAAACCTTAATTTACTCATTAATAGATAGTCTTCAGATGAGATTCCTTAAAAAGAAAAAAAAAATACTATCCTAAACTCTGACTGCAGAAGCTTCCTGTCTGCTGTTTAAGTGAAAAGTATACATATTTAATCATTTTACAAGAGTAGAGCTCTTGGCTCCCCTGGAGCTGTGCCAAGCTAGCAGTCCTGACATAGGAAAAGCAAGGCTTAATTTATTCAAAGGTAATTTCCAAACGGTGCTGTGCAGGGACCTTGCCTTCTGAGACAAATACACATTGCCAGCAGCCACTTTTGTCTGAAATTACCCAACTCCAATATTTTCTTTAGCTTTTATTAAAATAGTTGAGAACCACTATTATTTCACCCAGTCATCAACCAGGACCCTGCTCTGTCAGTCACTGCCCAGAAATGCAGAGATGTAAGGAACAACTGCTTGACCCCCAAAACCAGCTAAAATAGCTCTAATCCTAAGAAACACATTTTATTGCTCTCTCAAATACACAATTGCCAGTCAGTGACAACAAATATCTGTATCCTCTTTCCCATGACTATGCACAGAGAATTCAATGAGGCGGGCTCCATGCTAATCTTTGGGTCTGGTTTTGGTCTCGCATTAGCCTAGTTTTTCAAAAAGCCTTTTTTTTTTTTTTTTCTAATACATCAAATAAAGTCCTGTTAGCACAAAAGACATAATTTTTAACAGATTGGGTCTCCACAGAGTGGAAGAAGGGTTTAAATTAGAGTTGAGCAGTGTTTGCTCAACCTGAGCTAAAAATACTAGGAACTGCTTTGAAAGGTTCCCGTTTGCCCATATTTGCCGCTGTTGTTCCGGTAGGCAAATATCTTATCACTACCTGTTTTTTCCGGGCTTGGAAAGTGTAATTCACCCTTTTCCTGATTCAGCCCTTCAAAGGTGGGGTACAGGGACCTGCAGTTTCCATATGGGGTTATCAGCTACCCCTCCCTCGGGCACCCTAGAAGGGAGGACACAGAGGCATGTCCTGTTTGAAGACTGCCCATCCCTGCCTGACCAAGGCCAGATCCTGGCTCCATTGAGCCGGTGTGGGCAGGACCTGGGCAGGACTGCCCGGCCTGGAAACCCCACCCTGGTAATGTCATGACAAATCCAGGCAGTTCGGGCAGCTCCCAAAGTGAGACATGGAAAACAAACTTTAGATCATGAAAAGGATGTGGCTGAAACACAGCTCTGCTCCCTAGTCTGCCTACCTCTACTATTCTCCAGCTTCAGCGATGAAAGATGACAGAAGATGCAATTAGTTATTAGAGGACATTTGTCAGCTGGAATAAATAAGGCTGGACAATGCTGCTGAAGTTAATTAGCTCTTCTAATTCACACCAGATAGCTCTATCAATAAAACGGCAATTGATTTATTTTTATTGCTGAAATACGATAATAGGGTAATCAACTGAAGCTCAGCTTCCTGAGGAAAAAAAAATTAATTAAGCTTGTTGGGAAGAGCTTGCCTCCCAATCAAACAGGAAGGTTGTGTTTGTGTCTGCAAAGATTCTTCTTTTTACCCAAACCAGCAGGAGCTGGTCATGGGGCAGCCCCCAGGCAGGTTGTCTGGATTGGAGATGGCCTTTCTCTAGAGGACTTGCCCACCACACTCACAGGAAAACCTAAGCCAGAGCCATAGAGGGATTTAGACACCTACATCATACCCAAACCTTCCATCAGCACCCTGAAGCCAAATTCGCCCCCACTAAAGCTGGCCCACATCAAAACCAGGCTGCTCAGCCTGTGCTGGCCAGCACTTGGGGAATAGCCCTGGCACCTCTGGCTGAAGAACTCCTGATTTCTTCCACTTGCTGCTTCCTGTGCTGTCTGCCCACCACAGAGAGGGGGAGAGTGGCGAGACATCCTCCCCCCACCCCGGCCTTTCCCTATGCCTCTGCAGCCAAGAGAAAAAAGCTCCAGGCAAGGAGCTGTGCTAAGAGCTGAAGGAGGAGGCAAGCGGCCTTGATCTAAACCTTTGCTCTATCAGATAGACCTTTGCTCCAACCACTTCATGGGTTCAAAATACGCCATGAATTTTAGACATTACACTGGGTCTGTAGTAAGCTGAGTCTCAGCCAACACTCTCTCCCTCTTTGGTTAACATAGTTTAGTTTCATTACACTTAAATGATAACCAAAGTCAACTGAAATACACTTGCTTCTTTCATATATAACATGCTATGGCAAATTGTGGTGAAGTCCTTAATTTTCCAGCCTCAGCCTCCCTGCAATAACTGCCATCCCCACCAAGAGCACTTTCTCCCAATACTGGCATTCCCTGGTTTCTGAAGAGCAAGTCTCAGCACTGCAAAACCACAGCATTTTTTTTTCTGATTTAGTGACTGGCTCTCTTACTACGCAGAGTTGTCATTTCTTGCTAGTCCAATTGATCCTTTTGTTTATATTGCAGATGTGTAAGTTTACATATCTTCTAATCTCTCCTTTGTATTATAGCAAGATAAATCTGTGGTTAATACTTCATTAATTTCCTAAGGGAGGCAACTTCCAGCATGGCTTGGAAAAGCTGATGACCCCTCTGCTGTCGAGGGCTGTATGAGTAATTGGCTTTATTGCTTTGGCAATAAAACAAAACCAAGCAAAATGTATGCGTGCATACACATATGGACGTTTTGGGTACAACCAAAAATGTGCTTTTTCCTTGTTTTTTCCTGCTGCAAG